TATGCTATCTCTTCGCAAGCGCAAAACCTGTCTGTTCCAATAGCTCCTACCTCCGTCTTGCACCTCTTCGGAAGTTTTAAAGCCTCGTTTCGGGTTAACTTTTCGGCTAGCCTTTAGTCCATGTGTAGGATTTTGAATTTTGATTAATCACCTTTCGACTTTTCTGGATTACTCTGTCCTATCCTTGCGGAGCATAGTGAGTGAATGGAATCGAATTTTTATGATACGACCGCCAGGCGTATTCTTCCTCCTTTAAATTGTATCATGTTTTACTACGCCTCACCAGCCTTACTGGCATCTGTCATATTTTTTCATCAACACCGTTCGAAGGCAATTCAACCTCATGGTTTAATTCCTCTACTTTATGACAGGTCTCTACAACCTGCCAGTGTGCTTCCGATCTGCACAACTTGCTCGCTGCTCTGCGGAAATGCTTCAACACCTACCAAATCTCCTTAACGACTCTGAAAACAGCATTTCACGACGTGAAATCTTTGCTTCCAGCTGATGGCATTCTGCAGCCGGAAGGCACCGTCGTCTTCGAAATGTTTAGGTGCGTTGAATTGAGTTTTCGCTCTAATCCGGTTTATATATAATGCCCATTTATATATTCCTATCGGCTGCTTAGCCAGCGATCCTCATCAAACATATTTTTTAAAATATTCCTGTCTTTCCGTGGGCATATTATCCTTTCCTCACGTATGCCTCATATCGGGAAACTAAAAATTGTGCAACAATTGTGGAGTCAGAGAAGATTAGTACCTTTTCGAAAACAGCAAGTCTATTTTATGCGGCTTTATTTTGGGGTTGCTTGGAGGTTTTTACAGATTGACAAAATGCCGATACAATGTCCATTGATATAAAAGCCCTTTTAGTTTTATACGTATCACCTTCCTCCGTTTCCGGTTTTATTTTCAAGACCTTTCTGCTATCTACTTTTGTCGTCTGAACAGCGTTCATCTTTTGGAGAGGTCTTGATTTATGCCCTCATTTTCGAAGGTAAACCCACACGGCTACATGGAACTGGAAACGCATTTTTTTCAAATATAATCCGGTCCTCCTTAGCCAAACCAACCAACACCGGTGACCGTCATGAAACTGGTTCATATTTACACACAGTACATATGAGCAGTATGTTAATTCAAACTGGTGGTTTGACATCGCCCTAAAGCTCCAGTTTCGACAACGATCGCCATCGGTCACTTTCTTTGGGCAGGTCATGTGCTTAGTGCACTCTTAGAGGAATACAAAAACGAGTTCGGCCTTTATGCGTTGCTGTCTTACCATTTGAGCCCGCCTCCTTTATTGTCATCATATTGTCGATCTCAAACGACAAAGCAACGAGTCCGTGGTGCAATAGTAGAGTGATAAAATTAATGACGAAAGGTTCCGGGTTCGAATTTCGGGGTCTCCGACCCTTGAGATTTGGGTATGACTGGCTGATGAAAGCTAACAAGCCAGAAATGGTCATTCCGGT